TATCTGAAGAAGCTGATGTCCTAACATTATTATCCTTGAATTTTGAATTCCATGATTTTCTTGGAAATTGCTTATCTTTGACTTCCACACTACAATTATTAAATTCATAGTCCAAATCGCTAGCTATAGAATTGACTTGGGATTTTTTAGAGTTAGATTTACCATGAAGATCCTTATAAACATCTTCCAAAATTTTCACATCATGAATAAGCTCTTCGACAGTATTATATTTATTTAGTGCCAGTTTTTCAACAAATTCTGGTCTAAGACCTTTTTGAACCCACTTAACTTTAGTAAAAACTGCTGGTTTGATATTTAACCGAGAAAAAAGTTGTTCCATTACTGCCACATAAATAACTACCGATTCGTCCTGGAATTGCTTACGGTGTTTAATGGTTTCCCAAAGTTCTTCATCGTAATCTTTACTCAGAAAATCTTGTTCAAGTCTTCTTGATAAAGTATCCCAATCAGTAACAATTTTCATATCTTTGACATGACGGAGCCAAAGCAATCCTTTACCAGAGAAAAGATCAACTGCAGATTCATACAGCTGTTGTTTGGAAACATGTCTAGCTTCTGCAAGCTCGTATACCCTTTCCAAAAATGACTTAACTCCCATAGACTTATTTGTACCATCAAACTTCAAATCCCACTTATATAATGACACTGGTTTTGAATTATTCCCAAAAAAACTCTGATGTAACCCTGAAGGAGAAGAGTGAGCCATAGGTGGTAATACTGTAGGAATATCATCCTTTAATCGTTCGTCTAACTCCCCTTCTAGAGCTAAACATGTTGCATAACACTCATTTTTATATGCTAGATGGGTAGGGTCATCACCATTAACAATCCTATTAATTCTGAAGTTGACATGAGTTAACCTAGATTTCAATCTACCATATAAAGGATCACTTTCAGTGCCTTCAAAATCCAAAATTAATTGTCTAATATTGTCTAGGGTAGCATCAATTTGAAGTTTTTCAGTTGCAAAATCATAAGTTGGGTCTACTAGTTGAGAAGCTGAAATGTTACTCTTTTTTTCCCTTTTTATAGTGGCAGATAGAATTTTTCGCTTTTCGTTCATGTCACGATTAGTTATGATTCCTCTGAGCTTAAGTTCATAATTAACCTCTTCAATGAGTAAATGTCGGGGTTTCATTTCAGATTCCATCTCAAAAAAAGTTAAGGTTCAGCTGTAGGTCAGTCCTCAAGATCGAAACCAGCAAGACTCTCTAATCTCCCAAGAGTGATTTGACTTTACTTGAATCCCCAAAAAGAATTTGAAGAAAGTGCAAACTAACTAAAACTAACTCCTTTTGGTACTTCAAATTCAATTTCTTGAAATATAAAATGTAATTAAACCTGTTTCAAGCTGGTCTACTTAAAGTCCATAAATTTAATAGATTTTACTCTAAAATAACACTCGAATCAGATAAAACTAGGCTTTAGACAAGGGTCCAATTCAATTGAATTGCTGAGTTAACAGTTCGCATTATATGCACAAGAAATTAGGAAAAAAAACTCTAACCAGCTAAGGTTACCTATAATGCACTAGGGAAGTCCCTAGGAAGCAAATGCACCATGCAATTCTCCAATTCCGCCACTCAAAATATTAGTACTTGAAAAGAAACACTCAGTACACCAAATAAATGCAATTTACTCCAGTCGCAAAAATTGAACCTCCTTTGGAACTTAAAACCTCTAAAATAAGCAAAACACCAATCCCCAAGCTCTTCCAAGTTAAGATGACTAGACTATTAAAAATTTTGCTTTCCCTGTAGATGAAAAATTGTTGATGAAAAATTATACCAAATTGTGTATTTCAAATATTTACTACTCGTAACATAAAATTTTGGGCCCCTCACGTTGTGCGACAATTATCTATAACACTTTCTTGCTATTTTATGGATGTTGTATAATAAGTAGTAAATTGCAAGACTAGTGTGTAGTTGTGTTATAGGCACGGCAGCTCTGTTGTTTGGGAGCAGGCTGTGGATTCAAGAAGTTATGTATGTTTAGGGACCTTTTGCCAGGCGCCACTCAGTTTTCAGTAGTAGGAAAACTAAGAAAATTTAATATTGAGGATAGAATTTGAAAATCTAATGAAACACCAAATAACTGTACCAGAGAAATATAATTCTTTAGATGTTTGAAGCAGGTTCATGTGACACAGAATTTCAATTATACCTTCAGTAACACCTTACTGTGCAGAACAATGATTAAATCACTTCCTCAGTGTTGTATAAGTTAAATGCTTAAGCAGAACAAAAAATGTAGATATCTCAAGATATTCCCCTTCTATATAGGCCTATATTTCCGGTTCACAGAATGACTGGACTCCCATTATGATTTAGTTAAGTGGTATTTCAAATATAAAATTAAAACTTGTTGTTACGAGTAGTAAGACTTGAATAGTGGTTCAACTTGGTGCTGCGCACTACTGGGTCATCAGGAACAAAAGTATAATCAAAATTGATCTGACCTTAGTGTCTGCGAAGCATGTGGTGCTGCTCTGTCCTTCCCTGCCAGTGAACTCCAACTCCAACTCCAAACTCTAGCTGGTGCAGTTAAAAAAAAAAAGGTTTCCTGGACTTCCTAGTCACCCTTCGACATCATGGACGGCACGACAAGGTGGGATCAAGAGAATAGCCCCAAAATTGAGAAGTGGCCCCAACAGCACACTATCTTGAAGTGGAGACTTTCTAGTCACCTTGTGGCATCATGGATGGCTCAGGATGGGATCAAGAGGAAAGTTCCAGATTCAACCGGAGGCTACTAGCTACAGGCTAGATAATTGAAGAAAGCGATGATGGCGTCCCACCAGGACATCCACCATGGACAGGCCAATAAATCTGTTGGAAATATACCAAATTGAAATCATTGAATAGGTTTATGGACTCTAAAAATGCTCACCTTCCGTCTGGAATGGCCGAAAATAAGGGTATCAAACCCCACAAAGGTTGGATGGAAAATGGCAAAATTCGTGCCCATCTTGCCTACTCTCGGTAGAGAAGAAGGAAATCAAGAAATTTCAAGAGTTTCCTGTGCACTCAGAAAACAAAACCGTTTATAAAAACATGTTTCAAATTAGAAATGATTCACTGCGCAAGTACAGTTGGAATCTTGACTAGTTGATAAATATTACCAACAGAGAATATTGAAATACCTAGATTATTTAAAGAAAATGTCCTAATGGGCTTTTGCCCGTTTTTAAAGAATTGTGAAGTTAGGTCTGACACAGAACTATAGTAACATTGGTCCAACCAAAAATGTTGCCAGCAGGCCGAAAATAAAAGAAGAAGGTTATAGATTCACAAAGGCTATGGACGAAGCGAAATAACCTAACAATCCACATAACCAATTAAACTGTCAGACTGAAACTGAAATACGAATATAAACAATCACAACTACTTCAAATATAACTTCCTGTGGATCCATAATTAAATTGAAAACAGCAAGGACATATCATTTTCCAACAGGTTTGTCAAACTGTGCATTTCAACTTTTATCCATTCAATCAGTCAACAGCAACTGGAAATGTAAATCATTTATCATTACAGCTAGGAAGAAGGACAGATCAACACCACTGCTATGGACACCTGAAAAATACAACCCTGAAACTAATAGACAGTCACACCAGGAAGACAAAGGAATCTTCAAGTTCAGCTTACAAGAGGTCCAACGCCAACAGGATATTCAATCCACCTGCCATAACAAAATGTAAAGTGTTGCAGTCACATAATCTATTGAGTATCTTACATCATCATAATATACTGGGTGTTACTCTTGGTTAACTTAATAACAAACCCATATAATAAAGGTAAAAAAGGAAAATTACATGTTACAATATATATAACTACCTTTTTCTTTCACAATTTCAGAAATATTCGCAAAAATATATTCAGTGCACATTTTCCATTTCCGTATCTTCCGCAATAATCATCAAGGTTGGATTCATAAATTCGCAACTGTGAGAGAGATGCCAATGATACACTCGAGGACCTAGGGGAAATAACTCCAGTGATAACACTGCTCGTCAGCAGCTATGGAATCACCGAGATTTCTGGGAAATGCTATCAAGAGGAAGAATACTGGTTGAAAATGATACTCTGTATATATTAACCAAAGGAGGATTTCTAGAAAACCATAAATATCGTCGAGATCACCAAAATGCTGAAGAACTGCGTGAAGACGTTATTTTAGCATTCCAAAAAGTGACACCCATTCACCTTACTAACGCAGTAAATTCTGTAAGAAAACGATGTCAAGTTTGCTTAGGCCATAAGGAAAAGCAATTTGAACATCTTTCTATAGAGCTATATTTCTCAGCGTTAAATAGTTTGAATGTATTGATAACAATTATATCAAATCGAATAATTTTTTTTCTTATCAAATATTCATTTGTCAGGAAATAACATATTTGAATTGAATTTTCATTGATATATATTTTCCTCCTTTGGTTAATATATACAGTTTCAACCTATATTCTTCCTCTTGATAGCATTTTCCAGAAATCTCAGTGATTCCATAGCTGCTGGCGAGCAGTGTTATCACTGGAGATATTCCCCCTAGGTCTTCGAGTGTATCATTGGCATCTCTCTCACAGTTGCGAATTTATGAATCCAACCTTGAAAAGGTAGAGTTATATATATATATATATTTGAAATTGGAATGCCTGGGACTATCTAACTCTGCCAAAATATACGGGGTGTTCCATAAAAAAAATAATTGGATGCCGTATCTTTTTAATGTCACGCTGTATAAGATTTTTAATGGTGCCAATGGATTGTTCGCATCATTCTATATGAATGAACTTTCGAAAATTTTCAATATTCCTCACCATAAAGCACACAGAAAATAAAAACGAAATCGACTATTTTTCGATTTCCCCCTGTATCTCTTACAACCCGATCATTGACTGAAATATGAAGGATTGTCTCTGTGGGTATATTCATCTCCAAACTCGAACTCATGTGACGAACAGTGAAGCAGAAGTGAAGATGGCCGCGAGTGGATGCGGCGAGTCGAATAAGCTAAAGAAATTGTGCAAATATTGTAAAAATAATGTACTAACTGGACCATCGTGCGTGAAGTGTAATGTGCCATTCCACAACAGTTGTGCGAAAAGAGTAAAAGTATGCTGCGACATGCCATTGATTGAAAATACTCAACCTGAACACAGTGATGCATCTTTGACCGAAGAAGCATATCTCAGGGAAGAGAATAAATTACTTAAGCAAATAGTAACTGACAAAGATACAATAATCAATGACAAGGATAGTATAATATCATTATTGCATGACAAAATCACTTTATTAGAAGAAAAATTATGTAGAAATAATAACAAAAATGATGTGTTCTCACTAAGTTCAAAGCAAAATCCTTCTGTTAACGAAGCAAAAAATGCATTATCAAAAACATGCTCTGTTGAAAGTACCAAAGATAATCTTGCTAATGAAAGAGTGAACAAAAACACTAATCTCTTGAAGGACATTCCGTCTGAAATAAATCGTCGTGATAGGAGTATGGAATTACAGGTTGATTCATGCATCAAATCAGGCGAAATATCAAAGGAAATCATGAAAATTCAGACCCTACAAAAATGTGAGGAATTGATCAATTTGGTTGATTCTAGACCTGGAACTGCCAGACTAGATGGAGAACAACCACATTTCTCTGGTGAGAACGACGCTGCTGTGCCTTCAAAAGAAGAGAAATGGAATTTAGTTCAGAAGAAAAATAAACATAAAAAAAGAGCAGTGGGCCAGGCTGACGCTGAAAACCAAAATCAAAAATTTAAAGGTCAATGTCCGAAAGTTTGGATGTTTCTGAATAGAGTGAACCAAGATGTAAATAGTGAGGACATTGAGGAATACTTGAAGACTAAGATTGGCAATGAAGGTGAATTTATTGTCAAGAAATTGAGAACATCTGAGGGAAGCAGGTTCACAAATTTCATGGTTGCTGCTGATCTAAAGTTCAAGAACTACTTTTATAGCCCTAGTTTTTGGCCAAGGGGAGTAGGCTATAAAAGATTCAATTTTGATCTTTATTACCAGAAATATGGAATACGAGATGTTCTGGAAGGCAACGTAGAAGTGGATCGGCCTATTTCTTTTTTAGACCCACTGAAACATTATAAATGATTATTGAAAATCATGATTTCAAAAATAATACAGTGATTAACCAATGTGACCCATCTGACTACAATATAAGACTTGGAGCAATTAACTCAGAATTGTGTATAATGCACTTTAATGTACAGGGTTGTTCCACTAAATTACTTGACATTGAAATGATTCTAGATCAACAGTCTCCAGATATTTTTTGTATAAGTGAGAGCTGGCTCAAATCACATGAGTGTGTAAGTTTCAAACTCACTAACTATAACCTTATAACTTGTTTTTGTCGGGAGAGGCATATCAGGGGTGGGGTATGTATTTTTGCAAAAGAATCCTTAAATGTTGATAAAATTGCCTGTGTCACTAGTATCGAGATAGACGTTGAAATATGTGCTTTGGAATTGAAAACCAAAAGTAGAATTATAACAATTTTGTCAGTATACAGATCCCCTCTAGGTAACACTCAAATTTTCTTTGATTCATTCGAACGAACGATTGAACAGTTATATAATAAGTACAAGAACTTTGACATAATAATTTGCGGAGACTTCAATATTGATATGCTGAAATATAGTAATACGAGGACTGAATTCATGAATATACTTCAGCAACATAATATAAATGCCATTATTAGCGAACCAACACGTATATGGGGTGATTCTGCAACATGTATTGACAATATTCTGTCCACAGTTGACCCTATTAGCTACTCTGTTAACCATTCCAGTATTTCTGATCATACTTTCCAAATAGCAAAATTTCGTTTTGATCAGGTTGAGGATAACCACGAAACACTCAAGAGATGTTTCAGTGAAAATAGTATAGAAATGTTCAATGGTCTGCTTTCTGGAACTGATTGGTCTCAACTTTATGATAAAGATTGTGTAAATTCTAAGTTTGAGTATTTCAACAATATGATTTCTCATTATTTCAATCTTTCATTCCCAAAAAAAATATTTAGGAATAAAAAATCTGGGAATCCCCAATGGATCACTGAGCAGTTGAGAGATATGAGCAGGAAGTTAACAGAGTTATCTGAGCTGAACAAAATATATAAAAATGGTTTATATCATGATGAGTTTCAAGAGCTCAAAATAACATATCAGGAAAAATTGAAACATGCAAAAAAAACTTGTAATGACAATAGAATCTCTTCAGCAGAAAACAAGGTGAAAGAATCTTGGAAAATAATCAAAGAGACACAAAATAACTCTACAAGCAGTGGTGTACAGCTTCTTCGAAATACTCATGATGAAGATATTTCTGGTAACCAGGCTATTAGCAACTTTTTCAGTGATTACTTCTCAACTGTTAGCAGTAGCCGATCCAAACCTTCTTGTGATAATATAAATTATATTTCACCCTCCCTACATAGCATTTATCTATATCCAACCACTAAATTAGAAATTGAAGATGTCATCAAAAAAGTTTGTAAGAAAAAATCTTCGGGTATGGATGAAATTCCGGGTCATGTAATCAAAAAAGTTGCACATCTGATTTCTGAACCTTTGAGTTATATCGTGAACTCTACGTTCATCGAGGGAAGATTTCCAGATGTCTTAAAATTGTCAAAAATCTTACCAATTTACAAAAACAAAGGTTCTCGCACGGATTTTTCCTCTTATAGACCTATCTCCCTACTTAATCAGTTTTCTAAGATTATTGAATATTGTTTTTATCAACGTTTATATAATTATTTCGAAACTTTCAGACTATTTTCATCCTGTCAGAATGGTTATAGAAAAAATAAATCTACTATGACTGCAGTTGATCAGCTTATTAAACATGCACTTGAAATGTTAGACAAAAAACAGCAAACTTTGGGTTTATTTTTTGACATGAGCAAAGCATTCGATCTTGTTGACCATGATATATTGTTGCATAAACTACAGATTTATGGTATAAGGGGATCTGCATTCAATTGGCTTAAGTCATACCTAGCTGGTCGTAGTCAGGTGGTCAGTGTGAATGGAACGTATTCGAATTCAAGATGCGTTCCGATTGGAGTTCCTCAAGGCTCTGTCCTAGGACCACTCTTATTTTTAGTTTTCATCAACGATCTTCCCAACTTCTGTACGAAAGCTTCAATAACTGTGATTTTTGCTGATGATACTAATATTTTGGTATCTGCGGGAACTATCTCGGAAGTTGTTGATAGAGCCCGAGAAGTCACAGCTCAAATTTCTGAGTGGTGCTCTCTAAACGGATTGTTGCTGAATACTGCCAAATCTCAAATGCTCAATTTTGTTACAAAAAATACAACTATAGATAAAAGCTATTTGGTCAAAATAAACAATGAAACAATCCATCAAGTTAATCATACAAGATTTTTGGGGGTCCATATTGATAATAAGTTAACCTGGAATAATCATATTGATAGTGTTAGACTTAAGCTTAGTAAACATATATATCTACTTCGTCAATTGAGACAAACAGTTTCTTTCGATGTTCTTAAACTTCTGTATCACAGTTTGATTCAATCTGTCATAGCTTATGGTCTAGAACAATGGGGTTTATCTGCCAAATCTTCCGAAGTATTTATCATACAGAAAAAAGCAATAAGAATTATGGCAGGTGCATCATCCAGAGATCATTGCAGGCCATTATTCATACAGTATGATATTTTAACAATGCCCAGTTTGTATATCTATCAAACTTTAATATATATCAGGAATCATTTTTCAAGTATACCAAAAAATAAACAAATTCATGATCATTTCACTAGGAATTGTAATCAATTGCATCCACCTCGTAGTAGATTGTCAGTATCACAGAATCATCCCATGTACTATGGAGTTAAGCTATATAATAATCTCAGTGAAGACATTAAATTGTCTACAAATCTTAATGTGTTCAAAAGGCAACTCAAATCATTTTTATTGCGAAAAGCATATTACTCAGTCGATGAATTTCTCCTGGAATCATGATGTGAGTAAATATTCTAATGATCAGACTATTTTAATGATATTTTAATGTTTAATGTTGTTTGTAAATATATTTGTCTAGTATATCATTGATGTTTTATACACATTCTCAATTTCTTTTTCCAAGTTGATGGTTAGTGTTTATATTAAGTCTTGTTTTAACTTTTTTTAATAAATATATTCATTTTTCATTGTATGACCTGTTGAATTAGTTAGTATTCTACAATGATGTTATGATTCTTTCCTAATTTTTATTGTAGATGAAAACTTATTTAATAAAAGTTTGATTGATTGATTGATTGATTGATATCAAAGTTCCGAATGCGCCATTTTAGGTTTCTTCAAAATCTAACCCGTGACATGTATATCGGTTTTTCGATAACTCCTTTAGTTATTGAGATAGCCCGTGAAAACGCCCAATTTTGCCCACCCTGTACAGGCTTCGGTTCAAAGAACGGTGTCGCGGATTTGATTCCAGCCAGCTCGTCTACTACTTCGTTTCCGGGCACCCGCCTGTGATCCGGAACCCATACTAGTTCGACTTGAGGGCGGATCCAGCACTCACGTCAAGGGGGGGTCACGGGCTTCATAAGCCCAATATTTATATAAATATAAAATGGGTGTTTTCTAAACATTGGTAAAATTTCGGCAGGTGTTTCCTGAGGTTTCTTTATAAAAAAGTTCATGTAAATATTTGTCGAGAAATACTTCCTATGGTGCTCCGCCCCTCAAAATAGGAAACCTGAAACGATTTCTTCTCACAATTTTCGAAACCATCTATCCAAAAATGATGACATTTGGTACATCTAATGTTGAATCAAAATTCAAACTCAAAATTTAATTTATCAATAGCGTTAATATTCTTTCTTTGCTCTAACTTGAGATGAATTGATTGCAATTGTACGTAGATATGATGAGAATACCCCAGACGGCCTTCAGAAGAATTTTTATCCAAATAGTATCTGCAGAATTGTAAAATTTAACTTGAATAAAATGTTGAAACTCATATAAACCAGTATTTTTACACTGTTCATGAAATAATCTTCCTGAATATCACGCAACCATGACAAATGGAGACTATTATTTTCTTTAATTCATCTCTGAAGATGTTAGCACTCATCAGTTGGATCATTCTATCACTCGTGAAGATTCATATGAGCATCATATACAGAACAATCGATGCATGTATGCATATTATTTCACTACTATTTTTTTGTATTGTATCAGAATGGAAATCTATGGTGAATGTGAAAAACTCAATTAACGTTAAGATCACATAATTATAGTAGAGGAGGCAGAGAAGCTAAATGGGGATTTACTCGAGCGTCGTGGGAACTATTAGATTATCCAGATAAGATGCTAAAAAAAGAGTTTATATGAGGTATGCCCTTTCACTGGTGGGGAAAGCCTGTACAGGTTTTCAAAAATGTAAAAAAAAAACAGTCAAAAGGAATACTCAGGCGCTTCAGATATTAATAGTATATTCGACCCAGGTGTTTCTGAAAACCGAAAAATATCAATCTGCCGGTTTGCATGGTGGGGGTGGCCGTACGAAGGGGGTAGAGAATAGGTACAAAAATTAATTCGAGCGCGTCAGATATTGAGCAGGGATGTTAAGTGAACCATCAAGTATCTCCTATTCAAAAGACTGGCGATTGGGTCGCGACCAGAAGTCATGACCAATTTTTTAAAATGAAAAAAAATATGACCTTGAAATACTCGAGCGCGTCAGATTATTATACAGACGCTTAATCTTAACCCATTAGTGCATGAAGTTACTTTTTTTCAAATCTCTATATTCTGAAGATGTTTACTCATTCAAATATACCCAAAGGAATGATAACTCAAGACGAATAATTTTTTTTACAATAGATTTTTTTTATATGACACGTCCATTTTAATGGACTCTATGCAAATTGGTTCATTGATCAGTAGGGAATTTCAGTATTCATTTTTATTCAAGTACATATCCAGAACATGAAAAACTCAATAACATCAATCACAATATTATCAATAATGATAATAATAATAATGAAAATTATACATCATGATGACTTGATACATTTTGAAGCATCTCTCAGATGCAGTCCTATTTTACATATGAAATTGCAATTTTGTATACTCTACTGAATGGAATTCAGCTGATGGGTATATGGAAATGCATCATATCAAGAAATTATTTGGGATGATACTTCCAGACCTTTTTTCGGTGCTCCTCACACGATCCAGTGGAAGGAAATGTGAACCCGTTGAAGAAAAAGAGGAGTCGAACGAAGGGATGGAGTCGTGTCTATAGTTGACGTGCTGCAGTATAACGTACAATCATTTGATGCCATAATATTCCATTTCATAATGCAAATATTTATATTATTTCCAATTTAATCAAAATCAGGACCAGAATAACGAAAGTCGAATAACGAAGTCCTTTAGAAATATGATTCATTATGGATTCGCAGTTTCTAAATTCGAATAACTGCATTTTTGCCAACTTTTCTTCTAGAGGCAATATAATATATGATTATCTGTTGGTTGATCGATATCTGAGCCATTTTACATATGTCTAAGAGGTGTTGCAAAAATGATCTACAAAAAAATCTTGATGACCGATATGCATAGAGTCCATTATAATGGACACAACACAAAAGCAATATTTTGAGTGTCTTACAAGAAGAATAATTATTCGAATTACCTTATAGGTTCATAAACACATGCATATAATTAGATCTTGAGGGATAGGAAATTCTGAAATACATTATACTCCATTATAATAAATACTTACCCTCCTTGTCGGGTGCAATACAAATTGTTATCCATTTGATCACGTGCAGAATATTGTCGAGATGCAAATTCATGAAATAGAAGCGATAGATGTTTGTTGTTGAACTACACTTATAGTTCTGGCGCATGAAACATTCAATTCCTGCATGATTAACGTCACAAAAAATTAGACAAGGAGCGTCCATTATAAGATACATTATGCACTAATGGGTTAATGTCCTTTCCTTATTTCCTTAATCTGACAGTTGAAATTTTTTTGTTTACTGAATTTAATAACTGAATTATGATAAATATATAGTGAATCAGTTTCTTGTGGCAGAACTTCAACAGCTCGAAGAATTTACAATTTCGAGATAAAAAGCTCATGTTGACATACCGGGTGACATAGAGGGTATCGGGTCACCCCTGTAACTTTTGCATTCGTTAACGGATTTTTCTGAAATTTGGTGTAGTTATATTAGCAACCATATCGGATTTGATCACCTTACGTCCAAAATGGCGGACTTCTGGTTTTCTGGAAATGCCAGCAACTTCGTTTTTTTTTAATGGAACACCCTGTATATTTCACACATTCAAGTACAACAGGTCAAAACAAGTGCAAGCTCTATGTCAAATGTAATTTTTTGGGACATGCGTATTCAAATTCGGCTCTGGCGGGAAGCCTAGGTTTCGCATTTGGACGTAGAGTGAAAAGAAACAGTGAGAAGGTCAGAGTGGCGCGAAGTGGGCAAAACATAGTACCTAGTAGCTGCTTGCAAGCACACTTAATTGATGATTTTTGATACCTACTTCGGCTTGTGCAAATCGGCAGATTGTTATTTCCGTGATGAGTGAATAATTTTCCAGGTGACGTTTTTTGCAACTCTGTGACTCCCCTTTCCTTATGTCAGGCTCAAATCGTCAGATTATTGAAATGCACACCTTGCCTTAATCTGACGCGCTCGAATATTTCCAACGATCGATTCTTTTTTGAACTGATCGGCTGCCCTAGAAGTTCGACACCACATAAAGAGCCCATCTGGTATGGTGGGAGTACTTCACAAGGTGCGGTTACCCCCTTATGTTATTCTTCCGCGCTCGAGTAAATCTCAAGATCCCGCTTGGGCTCACCTATACTATTACCAATTACACGACATGTTTCGCTGACAGAATCTTCTTCAAGTGAAATAATAGTTATTAACGCATCAGGTGCGTAAAATAGGACCGTAACGTGTAAGTTATATTAACACATCTAGGTCCATAAAAACAAGTTTCGCCCGAAATACTTATGCGCCCTATTGCGACTAGAATCATGCGGACATGTTCACCATATCGCTAGCCATTATCTATAATTGGCAGCTTTTAAGGTACTTATAGCTATCAAAAAGCCGAAAAATTTCACTTTCAAGACAATTTCAAGTGAAATCGATATGTGCATCACCTCTTGTTAGCTTTATGCTTGATATTAAAAAAAAATATTAAACTCCTCCCTCCCACCCCGAAAATTCTTACCGACTCGCCAAAGAAAAAAAGATTTGCGCTGCGGACCAAATCGGCAAGGGACTCGCTTTCTATACAAAATGCGTTTTTTGCATAGGTATCTCTAGCAATGTTGTTTTCTATTCATATAAATTTTTTTTAGTGTCAGCTTCAAATTAGGTGATGTATACTCCAGACTAACCAAGAAATCTCCGCAAAATGTTCATCAAGCAGAGGGAGATGTTCTTATGCTGATAATGTCTGCAGCTACTATGGGAGACAGATTTGTTGATTGGGCAAATTCAAATGCTAAGAAGTTCTATGATATACCTCCAATGGTACCTGGTAAAAAAATTGGAACATGATTTTACGAGTTTTCTACTCATTCTCGAAGTATGAATCTTCATTGAATTGCATGCAATTTCATTAGATATTTTTGATATCTAGGTGCTTATGAATTTTACCGATTTTACAGTTTTTAATTTTAAAACATGAATCCATTAAAATATATTATGATCAAAATAGAATTTCATTTCTGAATCCATGAGAAGTGTAAGTGAAGGAAATGAACGGTCAGAGATAGATATATGATGATCAGGAGTCAAAATAAAAACAGCAAAAAACAGCTATTGGTGATGGAGAAGAAAGGCACAAACATACTAAAGGAAGATAAAAAACATCGATGTAGATCGGATAGTAAGTTAGATTTTAGTACAAATCGCAGATATAAATGCAAATATAGATAGATAGATAGATAGATTTATTCTTCCGTGAAATTTACATTTTTGGAAACGTCAAGTAAAACATGTGGGTAAAAAATGTAGATAAAACAAGACATACAGAAAATACGGGTTAAAAGTATATGTAGACAGCACTGACAGCAATTATATAAAACTAACTTTAAAACAAACTGACAGCAATTATTATATAAAATTAACTTTAGAACAGAAGGAGCAAAGCGAATTAGACAAACCTAAAGGTGAGTCAACCTTATCCTAATGTACTAATGCTTGTGTAGAAATCCTCACTATTATATAAACACATGTTAATTAAAATTTGTTTTATTTTTGATTTAAATGTTCCTATGGGTAAGGATGATATGGTATCTGGTACTGCATTAAAGAAATCTATGCCTAGAACTCTTGATTTATTTATCCTCTTGCGAGAATGAAGTAGCTTATTTTTACCTCTTGTATCATAGGAGTGTACGTCCATATGAGAAGAGAATTTGTTAATATTGCATTTGATGTGCATCAGATTTTCGAAGACAATCATCGAGAACAGTGACATTATTCCTAATTCTTGAAAGATAGGTCGACAGTGTTCATCAGGTTTAGCTTTCACAATGCTTCGAACTGCAGATTTTTGCAAAATGAAAATCCTTTGTAAATGTTTGTGGGAGGCATTGCCCCATCCCAGAATTCCATAGTTTAAAATTGACTGGAAAAGTCCATAATAAGTGGCAAGACCCGCTTCTTTATTGACTATATTTGTTATTCTGCGTATTGCAAATACAGATTTCGATAATTTTCCGCACATGAAATTTATTTGAGGGATCCACGATAGGGTAGTCAAAAAAAATTCCGAGGAATTTTATATCTGCGTTTTCTGATGAACCTACATGTGAAAAAACACGTGTGTTAGTTTTCTTGTCATTCAAGTATAGTTCATTGGAACTGAACCATCTCGAAGCATGATTTAGAATACGACTGATTATGGGATCTTTCTCCTCCAAGTCCTCATATTTTTGTTGGAAAGTAAAACTAGTATCGTCTGCGTACATTACTGTTTCAATTTGCAACTCGTTATCAAAAGTTTTCATGTGATTTGGTAAGTCGTTTATATAAAGAAGAAAAAGGAGAGGTCCAAGGATGGACCCTTGTGGGACTCCCCGTTTCATAATGAGTGTGTCACTTTTGACTTCATTAACAATTACTGTCTGTGGCCTATTTGTCAAATATGATTTTATTAAATTATTTGCAACCCCTCGTATGCCATATGAATTCAACTTATCCAATAGAATAGAGTGGCTAACGCAGTCAAATGCCTTGGTTAGATCAGTAAAAATCGCTATACAAGAATTTTTGTTTTCGTATGCCTCCTGTATGGTATCCATGAGGAGAACAATTGCATCCGATGTTTTCTTACCGTGTCTGAATCCGAACTGAGTGGGACTAAATATACTATGTTCCTCAATATGTCTGGACAATTGACTGAGAATCGCATACTCTATGATTTTTGATATACTTGGTAATATGTGTATTTGACGATAGCTTTCGGGAAGTGATGAGTCTCCTTTTTTATAAAGTGGGAGAACTTTGGCTGGTTTGAAAATATCCGGAAAAATGCCTTGTGTCAAGCAAGAATTTATTATGTCACACAGTGGTTCTGCAATGTTAAGGGCACAGCATTTTATAAGATATGTACTGAACTCATACACGTCCTGAGTTTTTTTATTTTTCAGTCTCTGTATCAGCTGCAGAACATCAGATGCATTCAAGGGCTGGAGGAAAACTGAAAAAATAGAGAACTCTGGACTTCTTACATTATCATTAGTTTTCTTAAGTTTTTTGACGATTTCATCAGAGTGATTAGCAAAGAAATCATTAAATTGATTCAGATCCAAATCAGTAAGATTACAATGCATTTTATCTCGGCCAATTTCGTGATTGATTATAGACCATACTGTTTTTGTTTTATTCTCCGATTCTTGAATTTTATTGAAATTGTTTTTGCGTTTGATGTCCTGAAGTGTGCATCTATATCTCTCCTTGCATTGATTATATAAATCTCGATTTGATTCGGTAGGATTTTGCTTGTAGTTGTTATGCAGAAATAGAAGAAGTTCTTTTTGATTTTGAAGTTCAGGTGATGCCAAAGTGTTTTTATGAATTTTATGATTTAGACTCTTTGTAGATGGAAATGAATTTCCATACATATATGTAGATACTCTATCAGTAGAAATAAGAAAACAAACGAGGAGCTAGAAGGAAATATGTGAAGATCCTATCAATCCCTCAGCTGGTGGAGACTGAGCTCGTTAAAAGGGGAAGAATTGAAAAAGGGCGGGTAAGATGCAAGATAAGCAAAAGGATGTAACCAATGAGATTCATCAAATGTTTGAACTTTGGACAACAAAGAACGGATTGTGAGGGGATGGATCTTACAAATGCATGCATAAACTGTTGAGAAATTAAGAGGGTACAAGGCAAAGGACGAAGTGTCCGCATTATAGAGAACTGAAAACATTTGTTTAGCAATTATCAATTTTGTTTGCGAAAGGGTCGCTCTATCTTTGTATTCTCACCTTATGTCAAATTCCGAACAGAATAATAGGTTCTTTTAGCACCCTTTCTTGATTCAAAAGGAGAGGTAGATGTAAAAAATACTGACTTGATGCTAGATAACTTTTACAAATGCGGCATGCGCGGTTTGGCTTTCGAGTGGATTACATTTTACCTTACCAATAGAGAACAAAAAACCAACTTGAAAACCATGCCACCATAGTGGCAGAATACTAGGACTCCTCTTATTCATATATTTTTTTATAGCCTCATGCAGGAACTTCCTTAGAGTACCAATAGTGGGCAAGGTATCAGATTTATTCCATTTCGAGTGTTGTGGAAGCGAGTTCAGATATTCGAAATGCCAACGGTGCCAAAAGTCCTGGAGACAACGCTGAAGAAGTTGCCATCTTGATAGGCGATTCAATGGAAACGATGTGAGATTCTCATCAGGAGGAGCACATGGCGGTGCAAATTTCAAATAATAACTTGGGCACAAGGCATTCAAATCATTGGGGTCATTGCTCAGGCTACAAAGAGGCCTAGAGTTGAATACAGCCTTAATTTCTGTGAGCAAAGTATAAAATTCTTTCATAGTCAAAATCTGCTCACCGATTACTCGTTTTAAATGCGTTTTCATGGATTTCACATTAGATTCCCACAAACCTCCAAAGTGCCATAAAGGCTTCAAAAGATAGGTTGGATACTAATTCCAAATGAACTTCCTTAGTAGAACAACACACAAACAAACACACACACGATTTGACCCTCCTTGCACCACGATACCTCGATAAACGTATGTATATGGAAAGGTCCAGGAAAATCTAACCCACAATGTGAAGACGGCTTTGTTTGAGATACCCGATATGAGGGCAAATCTCCCATGATTGGTATCGTAGGGGTAGGGTTAATACAAAAGCAACGAATACACTTTGAAATTACATGATGAATTGCACGTTTGCATGAATGAATCCAGAACTGTTGAACGATTTAATATCAAGTATTAGGACCTGGATGCAAGTTTTTATTATGAAAGTCCAAAATAATGAATTCGGCCAATCTATGTTGGCGAGGCAATAATATCGGGTTCTTTGCATCGTATGGAAAATCCGAATGGCGAAATAGACCGCCCACCCGAGGACATCCTCCCTGTTCAAAAAGGGAGCAAGCTTCTAAAGGGTTTTTATAAATACTTCCCAGATTTCAAATTTACAATTTCGTCGCGGAATACTTGCTTCTGTACAACCTTAACAATAAAGATAAAGATCTCCACTACTACATTTGAATCTCTTTTATACAATTTCATGTAGATGAACCTCTGGCAATAAGCTACGATTCTCTCAATTTTACGAAGAGAAGAAAAGTTGTTCAGCAAATTCAAAAGACAGTTATCCTCATACACTGTTACAGAATGAACAATTTTCTTCTTCTCTGACAAGGCATCACTATCATCCACAGCATTTATCTCAGACCCGAACCTGTCATCAGAAAATGACTATAACCATGGTGGCCCGTTCCAGCGAAGATGGTGTGTAATCAACTCACTAGGAAACACACCTCGTGACACACAATCTCCAAGATTAACAGCCCCATCTACATGCGGCCAACAACTCGGGGGACCTTATCTTGGACTTGACTCACCCTGTTGGCCACAAAGGTGGTCCATCTATATGATGATGACATAATCCAAGTACACACAGTCTTGTTTTCTGACCTCGCAATCACCCTATGGAGACAGCCTTTAATGGGGTTACTTTCGACTTCACACAAACTAGAGACATATAGACAGAGTCATCTAAACACCTTTGCCGCAAAGAGACAACAGCTCCATAGCCAGCTTGAGAAGCATCACAAAATCCATGCCATTCATAAGCACACCTATTATCTCTCAAGATATACGACGAGAGATACTAATCTGAAATATAAAGGGTAACTCCTCTTTATATCGATACCATTTGATCAACAAATCAGCGGGAGGAGGTTGTTCTCTATATACCTAACTTCCAAGTAATTTGCATCAGATAAGACTGGATCGTAGATCCTAGCGAATTCTGGGAATACATTTCTCTTTGTTCCTGGCATACCCAGAATTTTAAACTTTGCCTCATCCTTACTTTCATATGCGTAAGACTGCTGATGTGACACTGGAACAGATTCCAACATTTCCTGATGACCACTCGCCCACTTTCCCAATTCGAAACAACCACTGGATAATAGTTCATCTTGAATTCTTGCC